GCGAATTTCTAATACTACTAACTAGGGTGTAGCTGAGTGATACCACCTGCGGATACTATTGCTAAGTCAGAAGTGACGCTGATTAAAATCACCACTAGGCCAATTGGTACAATAGTAGCGAAGACCGCGAGACGAAAACGCGCCGCGTACCGTTTCGTCTTTAACGGAGACATTAAAGAATATAAAATCGAGGCAAAGCTGTAAGGAAGTAGGTTGCGGAAAAATTAAATAATTTTTTGCGAAAGAAATTTTACTTTATTTAGAAACATTAGCAGCTAGATCGCATTTCAAATAGTAAAAACATCCTAATGCCGACAATAACAATGTCGCAATTATGCATTCAGAACATGCGGTAGTTTTAAATAAAGAAACTTACCTCCTCGGGATGCTACCACGAGACAATTCAGCTTGGGTTTCCTGTGTACGTACTTTCTGAAAATCGACGAATTTGGACTGGCTGGTCAAAAGTTCGAATTTTGAACGATTTCCACACTGGGGATTGAAGCATACACTTGGCTGAATACAAGACTCGATGTAAACTTAAGTGAAATACCTGTGTGTATTTGAATTGCTGTTCAACGTTCCGAATGATGATGCCACAGTCACTACATTTAAATGTCCCCGAGGTTAGTTCCGGGTGGACCGGATGTGACCGAACGACTTGAGCTCGAATCTTAACAAGTTTGCCTAGTTGGTGAGCATTTAATTCGCGGATTCTTAATACGTAAAACGGAGGTGATTAACCTACTTGTTAAGAGTGCTAATATCTGTAAAACTGATATAAAAGTCGCGGCCGGAATTAAGAGTATCAGGGACGTGATCATTTATGAAGTTCTTCACAGCGTTGCACAAAAATGGATACAGTCTAGAGATAATGTAGTGCATATGTTTATACCTGTAATATTCATCCTCTATAAGCGACGCAAGCCGACTGTCGTGCATCAATAAGTCTTCAAAGTTAACGGAAAGTGTGCTTCGCTCAAGTTGTTTAAGCTCCTTCGCCGCCTCGACGTACTTACGTGTTTCATTTTCTTTATAACTGCAAAAATAGTCATTAACTTGACAAAAAACCTTTCTAAAAAGATCTGAAATCTTTTTTGGCAGTCATCTCCAACAACATCAGCGACCTGGATGGTGCGGACCTGAACCTGAGCGACGTCCATTTTAAGCAATATGGGTTTATTTGAACAAAAAGAGCGCCACGAACGTGCCGAACTGAATGTCGCTGCCAGGCTTCATCCAGTATAATCCAGTATAATTCAGTATATATAAGGGAGAGAAGCAGAGCCTTTGAAAACCCTATTTACAGATAGATGCTGTCAGA